TCCTCGTCATTATAAATATCACAAGTACACATCAAATAGTTTTCTGGCTGCAATTTTCTAATTTCGACTATGCGTAATGTATGCTTTACGCATGCGCTCATTGAAAGAAATGTTTAATAAAGTAAACAAATAAATATTAAACTTTTTTGTAAATTTTGATACCCTTTAGATCATAATTGCTCTTTTATTTCATAAATTACGGTTTCATATTTTAATTTTATAATTCTTCTTATTTCTGCATGCCATCTTACCAGATTTAAACTGATGATCTATAATTCGGAATTGCCAAAGTCCCGACGAGTCCGGATTAAAGACTTTTGACTGTATAACTATATTCGTTAAAATGTCGCTGATTATTCTAATTCAGTTTTTAAGTAATTATTTTTATTTTTATGTTATTCATATCATTTAATGTTAAATTTATTATTAGTAAATATTATTTCCAAATTTCAGGACAATTTCTCTGGCATAATCCTGAAATTAATTCAAGCAGTATGATGACATACCATCACAAAATTTAATGCACCTATTTTTTTTTTTTTTGTTATGTATGCTGCAAAATAAGTATAAAAATACCTCAATTTATTAAAAGAATATTATTAAATAGATTTCTTTCTTTTGTTTAGCTGCAGAATATTTGCAAAAAAAAAAGCATTATTTTATTCCAGATTGGGCAGATTCTAATCTCAATCTTCAGTTTAGAAAACAACTTCTATTATATTTGTGTTTTCAAATGTTAAGGTGCCTTTTAAGAAGACACCTCACACAAATTAAATTTACCTAAAATCTAACCTAACTATTTAGCATTGCGTTGTGATTTATAAGGACCGGATTAGCCTTGTGTTGAACTAGTGATGATCATGAGTAATAATTAAATAAAACTTACATTTGTTATCCAATGTATATATCTTTAAATTTTATTAAGTTTCTTAAGTGGAAAAGTAAACAAAATTATCAAACAAAGTATACCAAGAATAATTAAGAATAAATGTCCCCTGGGATTTAGTGAATAATTAAGTGAATTTGCTATACAACACAAGTAATACCATAATGAATTTACCTCTTAGCACAGCCAACGTGCATTACGCGGATAGACTGGAATTTTCTTGAAACACATCTGGAAAACCTGGAAAAGTGAAGGAATTTCATTCTCCTGTTTGAGTTGGCAACCCTGTAATTGTTATGTTTATACTTGCTTTTCATTTTCATTGCTGCAGGAGGTTAAGTATCATCTTCTGTTCTTTAATTTAAAATCGAGCATATTTTGACATTACCTATTGATGTAATAATAATGACATTTCACAAGGAATTGCTGAAAAAAATCACAATTTTTGTGGTTTATCACTTATTTTACTAGTTGGGTTCACCTTGAAATTCTTAAACGGTGTTAAGAGCTTCCTTATTTTGTTCTAGAATTGAGGTTTAGCTCTGAATTTTTGTATCTTTTTAGGGAATTAATGTTAATTGTCTGATTGCAATCCGTGGCTGACACTTGAAAAAAATTTTTGGTGATTGAAGTAAAGATGTTGCTTAGTCTAAAGGCAGAAATCCTGAAACATTCCATGAATATTGAAAAAGAAACATTATCTGAATAAAATGGAAAACCAAATGTACATAATTTTGAAAATGGCATCAATATTTGATATAGATTTTGTATGTTGTATATATTTTCATTTTTAATAATAAAATTCTAACCATATTAAGTTTGTTAATTTTGTATAATGGGAATATTATACAGAAGAAACAGAAAGGTGAAGAAATGGAATTCTAGTACTATTCTATTATCAGGACCAGATTCAGAAATGTATGTATGTATACAATAGCAGAAGATATGGTAATAAATAGAAAATCTCAAAGTGGTCCTGAACAGAAGCTTCAGCAAGATTGTTCTAGAGTACAAAGTCAGGATTCCTTGGTTAGTTCTCAATACTGGATGTACTGAAACAAATTTTTTCCACATTTTGAGTGCCAGTAGATTTATTAGTTATGTTTGTTGCCTCTATAAATTTATTGATTTATGAGAATGCTGATGGGAGAAGGCACTAGTTATCTACTGTATACTATATTATTTGTAAATAATAAAAGTATACGCAAAACTTTAAATTAGTCTAAACATTTGAATGGGGAAACTAACAAGTGAGCAATATCGTTAAACTATACATGAGGCGAATACAGTGTAACATATCACTAATATTGTGTGCCAATGGCACCCATTGATTTCAAGACTCATTACATATGAATAAATTATAAATTACAAAGATTATCAAATGTACTTGTATAACTTTCTTTCTTGGTTGTACTGAGTATACCATTTCAAAATGCAGATGGGAAATTATATTGCATATATCACTTTTGAGGGGAAAGAATAAAGAATTTCTGAGTAAAGAATTTCTGTAATTAAGACATGCACATGGGCAGATGTTTTAATATCACTTTTAGTAGTTGTTCCTGACATTTCTTTTTCTTTCTTTTTTTTTTTTTTTTTAATTTTTAATTTTCACTTTAACTACCTGTATGTGAATAAAAACAAAATTTCCTAATAAGCTACATAATTTAAATCTGGGTATTCTTATTAGTGGTAAAGAAAAATAACTGTTAATTTTAAAAGGATGGAGAAGATTGTAGACTATATCTTCAATTCCAGTGGCATCCTAATATAGACTATATCTTCAATTCTAGTGGCATCCCAATATAGACTATCTCTTCAATTCCATTAGTAGCTAGATTATTGGGAGAAAGGTAATAAAGCAATAGTGAATATTACAACTACTGTTCAATTTCATGTGAAGGAGAAATGTTCACTCCTGTATATAAAGATATAATTTCAACATTAATGTATCCTGGCCATTGAATCATCTGAATGACTTGTACATCCAATGTCCATTCTATTTTCCTTTTCTTCATAGCAAGGAAAAATGAATGGCATTGGTTTTGAAAGCTTGAATGAATGACCTTGAAATGCATATGTGAAGGTTAACGATAAGAAATTTTGAGCATGTTCATTCTTAAAGGAATTACAGTTTCTTGAATTAGGGATTAAGTTGAAAATTATGTGAATAGATTGTACACTGTGTTAAAGGGAAACTTGAAACTTGTAAATAAGTATGGTTAACATAATAGTTAAGATATAGCCTGACACTTCTGACATAATTAGGGCATTTACAGACCATGACATTATATATTGCCAAATTTAGAAGTTTCAAAATTATAACCTTTGTTAACCTTCCAGCACGCGCGCTTGGCAATTTTATGTGAGCGTGCGCGCGTCGTATTTTTTACAACATCCATTATTTTACTGTTTTGGGCTGGAAAAACGACAGAAATGAGTGAATATTGATAATAAATTTGTTAAGAAATAAAATATTAATCTTATTATTGCAAAATACAAATGGTATAATGTTTAAATATAATTAATTATTTTTTTAAGTTCTTATGTTAGTGAGATGGAAATGCAGTGATGTATTTTCATCATAGAAAATTTTAAATTTATTATTTAATAATTATATTTTAAAATCGAAGCTAATTTTAATATTCATCAAAGACAAGTATAGACAATAAAAAAGGAAAAGACCTTGGTAGGGAAAAAAGTAAGTTTAGCATTACTTACTTCTGCAAGGAAATTTACTTCTTACTGGTTACAAAAATGCACTTTAAACTAACTAATGTTTTTATTTATTTCTAAAAAATAGAAATAAAAGAAAATAAGGAATTGAAATCGCTATTGTTCTCCCATCCAAAAGTTTCCTTGTCTTCCTTTTCTTCATCAGATAGTTCTTGAAGAATCCGAGCAAAATCAGCTGGTTGCACATATTTTTTTGCCATGAAAACCGATATAAAATTTATAGAGCCGAATGAATTCAAATTAAAATAATACATGGCAATTAATAACAAAAAATTACAAAATATTCGAGAAAGAAGTATATTTCTGAATTTTAAAACATGACCATGTGCGTGTCATAACTTTATGAAAAAGCTGCCACGTAGCACTAAAGCCCAGTTAAAAAAAAATCAAATGATTCCATGATGTGGGGATGGGTAGGAATAGAAATGACCTTCAGACATCTCAGCTTCGATATGTGAAAAATGTGCATTAAAAACTGAATTTGTCGTAAATTTGGGCGTGTGCTGGAAGGTTAACCAAAGAAATTCTTATGATAGGAAAAGCTTGCTAGTAGTTTGCAGACAGTATATTAGCTGCAATCAAAACACATTATGTTATAAATCAAGGAAAGTCTTGCATATATTGTTCTAATTTAAATCTTATCTCAATCTAGAAATTATGATAAATTTTTTGAAAAAGGGATGCATGTTTTGCAGAAGTGTAACAGAATATTTAGAATTTTCTTATGTGTAATATAAGTAAGCAGTTCTTGTGATGTATGCACGCTTCTTCCCCCCAAAAGATAAAAAGTTTATGAGTAATGAAATTCAGTGCCTGAAAGCTGCTATGGGCAGAGGAATCAAAGCAGTATTTGTATGAAATGATAAACTAAATCTATATTAAAAATTTAAAATTTGCTTCCTTATTCAGATAGTTAATATGAAAAACTTAGGTTTCTTTTTGAATTTTGAAAACTTCAGGAGTGTGAAAATGAATCTCAAAATACTAAGATTGGTATTTGGTTCCTTCCTCCCTACCTATCAGCCATCCAGTGCCAATAAAGCATTCACCACTGGATGGCCAGTTGTATTAGGCTTTTACCACCTTTTCACTTCTAATGTAGCCCAGGATGCACCCCAAGAGATAATAACCTTTTTTTTGGGGGGGGAGACAAAATGATGTGTTTCAGATTGCTACAATGTTTTAAGTTTTCTGGTTTTGTTACCATACTTTCTAGAATTTGCTTTTCCAGAAGAGGAGTGCAGTGTAGATTTTGTGATCATTCATATTAATATCACTCATAGTTAAGTAGTCTAATTGAAATACTTCACTTAAAAGTTAATATATATGGCTATTTATATTGATCTTGAATTATATTCAGTTTTAAAAATTCTTGTAGCTCAACGTATGAAGTAGCACTATTGACAGTTCCAGTGTCCAACAACTATGTTACGGAAAATAACCAGCGTGTGAAACTACTTGATGCTGTGCTTGTAAAGTGACCATGTAGGCATAAAAGTGCGTAGGCTATTAAGTTTTCATCATTTAATGTGTTTAAAATCATATATGCATGTATATGTAACTTAATGTAAAGAGTTAAAAATTCATTGGAAACATAAACAAGTTATTGTCTAATTCAGTAGCCATATATGCTACTTCTAAGTTTTTTTGTTTTTTGTTTTTGAGTTACTTAAAATATTTTGATAATTTATATAGTCATTGGGATTATATTATGTATAGGTAAGTTATGCAGAAATGTAAAATTAGAACACCTTAGTTTTGAACAAAATGAGTTTGTGAAATTCTTTTTATTCAAAACTATAGAGACAAAGTTCTTACCTAGCCTTTTATTTTTGCAGCCATTGATCATAGACATGCATTACAAAAATGTTTTAGCATTTTTAAATTGGGGAAAAAAAAAAAAATTGTAAAAATTGCAAAATTTAATCTTTTGTACCTTTTCCAAATATTTGTATTTAGGAAAATTGTATTCTCAATATAAAAAATAAAATGCAAAAAGTTTGACTCCTGTAGGATAATAATAAATTACCAACATATTTAATTTTAATTTTAGGAATTCAGATGTGGTACACAAATTGATGAGAGAAATGCATAACTAAAAGTGAAGCATTTATGCATAACTAAAAATGAAATATCAGTTTAGAAAAAGGGCTTGTGATGTTAAGAGATTAATTGATGATCACTAGTCTGCAGATGTGAAAAGTATTGATCTGTATAATTTTTTTCAAAAAAGGTATCTTCACAGCTGTTGGTTGTGCATTAGCACTGAAGGCGTAATGAGTACGTTTCCTCAAGCACAGAATTAAAGAATCATGAGTCAAAAGATTAACTATGAAATCTTTATTTTATAAAATAGGATAATTTTGCTTAACTTAAGCATAACAAAAAGTAATAATGTTCAAGGACATTAAAATTGAAGTATTCAAAAGAATAACTTACATGGAATCCTCATCAGTACTAAATATCATCAGGCTTACCTATATTAGGCAATAAGAAAAATAAACAGGAACATACTTTGCCATCGTACCTGAAAGAGAAGAAAGTACTACTGGATTAGACCTTTGGCCAGGTACAAGTAGCTAGGGTGAAAATCAAGTATACTGCATTGCACACGAGCTTTACTTTCTCTCGCCAATATATACCTTGGCGCACGTTCGTTTCGTATGCCTTTCGAGTTTCATTATGCAAAATACCTAAATTTATGCTAACATTGCCCCTGTTTTGCTAATGAAACTCATACTAATTGCAATTCATTCCTGCAAAACTGAAATTTAGCTTTAGGAATTGGTTTAGTCATAATATCAGCAACCATTTGCTCTGTTTGAAAGATAAGCAAGTTTTACTATTCCTTTGTTATTCAAGTCGCGTATATGATGAACTTTTGTATCAATATGTTTTGTGCGTGAACTGAATTTTTCAGATTCTACAAGTCTTATAGTAGACTGATTATCTTCAAATACCTTTATCGGTAGAGTTTGGGGTAGATTGAAATCTTCTGTTAATTTTAATAGCCATAATAGTTCTTGCGTAGCTTGCGATAGTGCAACATATTCAGCTTCTGCTGAGGATAAAGAAACACAAGTTTGTTTTCTTGAAAACCATGAAATACAGTTTCCTTCCTAATAAAATAACACTTCCTGATGTAGATTTTCTATCTTCAATATCTTGTCCCCCCAATCAGCATCTGAATAAACTGTAATATTAGGTTCTTCACTCGACGAAATTTGTAAGGATAGGTTTCTTTGTCGTGTTTAAGTATCTAATGATTCTTTTAATTCCAGCATTCCAGTCCTTTTGACGTGATTATTACACCTTCTGCTGAGTATGTGAGTTGAAGCTGTGATATCTGGTCTTGTGATAGACGATATATACAAAAGACTTCCAATAGCTTGGCGAAATTTATCATTTGAAGTTAGGAGATTTTCTTCCTTGTTTAGGTTATAATAGTTTGTTTCCATTGGTGTGCTAGCGGGTTTCGCTTCTTCAAGTTGAAATTGCTTGACAAGTTGATTTATTTTATTTTTCTGTGATAAGAGATAACTTCCATCTTCCTTGCGATTTATTTCCATGCCTAAGAAATATTTAGCTTCACCAAGATGCGTTATTTGGTAACGTTTCTTTAAATCATTAATTGTTTGAAGAATTAGTCCTTCTTCTGTAGAACTTATTAGGATGTCATCAACATACACTATTAAATTAATTCTTTTATCACGAACCACTTTGTGAAAAGACACGGATCTGCTTTGCTTTGACTGAACCCCAGATTCTTCAGTGTATTTTCAATTTCTGCATTCCAGCACCTAGCTGCTTGTTTGAGACCATAAATCGACTTCTGTAATTTACAAACTTTATGTCTTTCTTCCGGAACCACGAATCCTTCTGGTTGTTCCATATATATTTCTTCATTTAAGTTGCCGTACAAAAAAGCTGTTTTAAACATCTAGTTGATGTACCTTGGCATTATTATACGCTGCCCATGCTAAGAAAACTCTTATCGTAGTGTGTTTCACTACTGGTGAAAAAGTTTCATCATAATCACTGCCGTATTTTTGAGTAAATCCTTTGGCTACTAAGCGTGCTTTGTATTTTATATTTTTACCAGTTTCATCATATTTTGTCTTAAACACCCATTTGCTGCCTACTGCATGTTTTCCTGGTGGTAATTCTGTAAGTTTATTTTTTTCATTTTCTTTTCAGAGAATGTGTATTTCTTCTTGCATAGCCTTGATCCAAGCTTCTTGTTCACGTTTTGGTAAGTTTAGAATTTCTTCAAAGCTTTCTGGATCTTTAATTTTAAGTAAGATTGATTCTTCGTCTTCTGCTTTATAAGAGAATCTTTCCGGTGGGACCCCTTTGGTTGATCTGCTAGAAACCCTTCTTTCTACATTTTCTTCACATTTAATTAACTCTTCACGGAATTCTTTCAGAATCAAACTTTTTGAATCTTCTTTTGTGAAAATCATCCTGTAAAAAATCATTTTTGTTGTTTGAGATTAGATTTCTCTTCGGAACTTTTGAATCTTCTGTCATTGTTTCTTCATTATTTTCTTCATCTTGCGAGTTATTGAAGTGAATTAATTCTAAATCTTCAGCATTATTTTCTGCAAGTTTGTCAGGTAAAGACGCGTTTTTCTGAAAATTTAACAGTTTCTACTTACTATTATTTTCCTTCCACCTACATAAATCCTGTATCCCTTACTTCGTAAATCGTATCCTACGAATATTCCTTCTTCGGCTCTGTTGTCGAATTTACGCCGTTTTTGTTTGTTCACATAATAAAATGCTGTTACAGCCAAATACTCGTAAGTGACTTAAGTTTGGTTTTCTACTACCATTCCACAATTCATATGGTGTTTCTATCTGTGGCTTTAGTTGGTAACCTATTTTGAAGATATGCAGCAGTAGCTGCTGCTTCAGCCCAGAATCCTTTCGGTAATTTAGAGTTTATTAGCATAGCTTTTGTCATTTCTATTAAAGAGCGATTTTTTCCTTTCTGCGACGCCGTTCTGTGCCGGACAATAAGGAACCGAAGTTTGGTGAAAAATGCCGAGTTTCTTTAAATAATTTTCAGTACTTTCGTTACAGTATTCTGTACCGTTGTCGGATCTGAGAACCTTTATTTTCTTTCGTTGTCGAAACATTTAAGTTTGTTTTCCACAATTCATATGTGTGTTATCTGTGGCTTTAGTTGGTAACCTATTTTGAAGATATGCAGCAGTAGCTGCTGCTTCAGCCCAGAATCCTTTCGGTAATTTAGAATTTATTAGCATAGCTTTTGTCATTTCTATTAAAGAGCGATTTTTCCTTTCTGCGACGCCGTTCTGTGCCGGACAATAAGGAACCGAAGTTTGGTGAAAAATACCGAAGTTTCTTTAAATAATTTTCAGTAGTTTCGTTACAGTATTCTGTACCGTTGTCGGATCTGAGAACCTTATTTTCTTTCTAAATTTATTTGTTGTCGATGCAACATACTGTTTAAGTTTGTCGAATACTTCATCTTTTGAAGTAATAAAATAAATTTGAGTATAACGCGAATAGTCATCAATGAAAGTTACGAAATATCTTTTCCCTCCTAAGCTGTTGACTTCAATTGGCCCACACACATCTGTGTGCACTAAATCCAGTGGATTTTTAGATCTAAAACCAGTTTTGGGATAAGGTTTTTCAGTTAGTTTCGCTTTTACACACAAGTAGAACATTCCACACTATGAGTGCATTTGCCAAGTTTAATGCCGTCTGCCAAATCATTTTTCTCAAGTGTTTTTATGGCATCTATATTTCTGTGGCCTAATCTTTGATGCCATTTTAGTATACAGTTCGTATTAGAACATGAAACATCATTAGCTAAGTATGCTTTCTCGTCAATTGAGTTTACGGTCAATTTATATAAACCTTGCTGAGCGTTGCCGTCGGCTACGAGTATATTGTTACGCTTTATGTAACACTTATTACTATCAAATGTAACAATGCAACCTTTATTGGTAACAGATTGAACAGAAAGTAAATTACTATCTAAACCTGGTACATACAATACATTTTCCAATTTTATTTGTGTAACCTGACCCTTTAAGTTTTTGAACTTTAAAATAGCCTTCACCAATACCATAAGAATTTAATTTAGCACCATTGGCTACAGTTACTATTTGTTTATTAGAGTCATTTAACTGAGAGAAAAAAATTCTTATCACTCGTCATATGAGTTGAGGCTCCTGAGTCGATAACCCATTCTTGCGTTTGCGTGTTTTCATGTTTATTTTCCACTTTTAGAACTTGATTAAACTGAATCTGCGAATTTTCAGTTTCAATACTTTTAAGATACTTATTTTCTTTAAGTTTGTTTATGTTTTCTACACTTTGCGTATTTGCTATTTGGCATGCATTACTTTTATAATTTTGAGAATAATTTCTTACTTTACTATTATTTACATCTGTTTTTCGGGGAAGTTCTAGCGTTGCGTTTTAAATGAAAACAGTCATTTATCGTATGGTTATTTCTCTTACAATAAGTACAAAATTGTGTAACATACTTTGGTTTATTTTCGCTTTTACTTTTTAAAGCAACTGAATCGTACTTTTGAACTTTCTTAGTTTCCACACGTCTACAATACTCATCTATTAGTTTGTTTTTAACATATTCTAGCGACAATTCAGCTTCCGATTTACTTTCTATTGCAGTTATTAAGGAGTTGTATGAATTTGGTAAAGAACATAGTAGTATTGCTATTAAGTTATTTTCTTTAATTTCTTCACCTATACTACGCAGCTTTTCAGCCAACTTCTAGTACTCCTTTGATATGTTCCTGCATTTTAGAACTTTCATTATATCTAATGGAATATAGTTTTCTAAGAAGAAATAACTTATTTGTTAAATTTACACGTTCATGGACACATTTTAACTTCTGCCAAACTTCTTTTGCAGATTTACTATGTAAAACATGGATAATTTGCGAATCCGAAATGTTTAGACATATTAAAGCTTTAGCTTTACGATCATTCTTTAACCAAATATCAGTAACAGTTTCCGGTTTTTCTTCGAATACAACATCATCTAAACCTTCTTTTATTAGAAGTTGTTCTATTTTAAATTTCCACACTGAATAATTTTCATCTGTTAACTTTTCTATACAAATTGATTCTTTTAGAATAGACATTATTATTTGTTACAATTATTCTTATAAACTTTGTAACTAGTTTTTTTTTTTTTTTTTTCAACAAAGAGTTTTAACACTTTATGCCCCTGGAATCTTACAACATTACAAAATTTCAATTTCTCAGTCTCATAATCTTTTGTTGGTTGTGCATTAGCACTGAAGGCGTAATGAGTACGTTTCCTCAAGCACAGAATTAAAGAATCATAAGTCAAAAGATTAACTACGAAATCTTTATTTTATAAAATAGGATAATTTTGCTTAACTTAAGCATAACAAAAAGTAATAATGTTCAAGGACATTAAAATTGAAGTATTCAAAAGAATAACTTACATAGAATCATCATCAGTACTAAATATCATCAGGCTTACCTATATTAGGCAATAAGAAAAATAAACAGGAACATACTTTGCCATCGTACCTGAAAGAGAAGAAAGTACTACTGGATTAGACCTTTGGCCAGGTACAAGTAGCTAGGGTGAAAATCAAATATACTGCATTGCAGACGAGCTTTACTTTCTCTCGCCAATATATACCTTGGCGCACGTTTGTTTCGTATGCCTTTCAAGTTTCATTATGCAAAATACCTAAATTTATGCTAACAACAGCATCTTGCACGATTCCTGTTCTAGAAAATACTGGTAGGCTTTTAGTATTTGCACACAGTGAACATATAACATTATTTGCATAAATTTAAAATATTTCTAATTTGAAGAATTTTTTATATAATTATTAGATCATGATTTTATAATAATGAAACAGCATGAAAATATTAATACTTTTATAATTTGAAAATGATATTTAATGTGTGAATTTTTTTTAGGGTATTAACAAGATATGCAACATTTCTTTCTACTTTTAATATGAAAGTCATGCTATTAAATCTAATTATGTGCTGTCTTTGTGTCATTTGAATGGAACAGATGAAAACAAAACGTTTTGTTCTACTTCTTGCTTGTGTTTTATGTACCACTGTTGTTGTTCTCCTCTATGGAGATCCATCGGTTCAACCTTCTATTCAAAATTTGGTGACAGAAACTCACACTCGTATTGCTCATTGGAAATCCTTTCAGGTAAGTTATTTAGTTTGTTTCTAACAAAATTTGATATTTATTACTAGAACTGCTTTAAGATGGCTGTAAAGCTAATGTTACGATTTTTCATTTGTTATTTTTTATGTGATTAAAATTTTTTGTATGAACGTTACTGGTAAAGGAAATGAAGAAGAGAAAGTTGAAATGCAATGTCTAGTACATTACTTCAGTGGACAGGCTCCCGACCTAAGCGACCAGTGGCTGCCCATGCAAAGATCTGATACCTGACCATCTGTTGGTATCTAAATGATAGTGTGCAATAGAACACACAACCAGAGTCAAACTTAGTAGTACCATTACAGATCCCTGCCGTACTTGAATAGACTTTCAAATAAATAAAGATTCTAGAAGGGAAGGCAGTTAATCCCCCCCCCAGATGCACAGATGTTGCAAGAGATCAGCCATATGTGTACATGAGGGATCCAAGACTGTTGTGCATGAGCAGGAAGTCACCATATGTTGCTACCTCTCCATCGGTGCTGAGGTAGACACTTGGAGAAAATATTGAAAAAAAATATCTAAAAGTAGTAATTATTTTAATAATTCTTTTAATTTTCAAGCTGGTAGATGACATTTTGTTGGCTTTATTTATTTTTTTGGCATGCTTTTTTTTACAGCATTTATTTTACTGAGTTGTAAAATTATTTAAAAGAAAGATATGGCTCATTTATGGAGGTGTTGTAGAATATCTTGACCATATTTTATTTATTCTATTAATGAAAGCCCAGCTTATATTTCAGGTCCTTACCTACTGTTAAAAAAAGTTTTGCCACAAAATATCAAATGATGGGATTTAATTTTTAATTGTTTATGAGTCATTCCTAAAAGTTATGTAAAATAATTAAATCAAAATTAGAGCACTGAAGCCTCTGGTTTACTTTTGTGAAAAGTATTAGATACATTAACATGATAAAAGTACTTTCAAACTGAATATACTTATGACATTTTTTCAATTTTGGAGCTTTTTTTCCAGTATTTTTCATTCTTAATTGTAGAGACATTAGGTATTTTTTGGCAGGCGAGATGAAAAATTAACAAACGCCTTCGCTGGGAATTGAACTGCGGACATCTGGAATACTGACACAGCATGCAGAACCATAACACCACGAAGACACGCTAGGAAGGCGGGAGAAATACCTTATATGCATACTGCTGTATTTTCAACTGCAAGGTTTTGTTTTATGTAGGCAATTTGAGTGAGAAGTGTACAGTGTGGCTGCATGTAATTACTTAAGTGTTATTGTTTAGTCACTCTTCTGTCATTGTTTTAGGTATATACATATTATCCTATTAACTATGAAAGTTAGCTGCCATTAAATCGTGAAATTTCTTGAAGATCCTGTAGATTTGAAGAAAAAGACACCTGTTTATTTAATAAACAATTAGTAATTGACTTGCCACGTTTTTGCACATCCTAGAAAAGCTGTTGTCAGTTTCTGTTATTTTGCTAACCATTCCTATTTTACCAAATGCTCTGTTTAGAATGCTATGAGTACAAACTTTCCCAGGCTCGGGCCAAGCCTAATCGACGCTGTCATGTAAATGTCTAGTGAGCACCTTTATGTAGTGACAATATTAAAGGACATTGCTTATGGTTAACATTTAAAATGATGCATTATTAACATAATATGAAAAACCAAAAAAATTACATTTTATCTTTTGTCCAAATATGCAAACATTTTGTGCTTTGTTAAAACCCACACTCAAACACATTTAAAATTAAATTTTTTTATAAATTAAAAAAATATTTGTAAATTTTTTTCTGTAAAATTCATTTGAAAACCTGATTTTTATTTTCATGAAGTTGGCAGGTATTTTATTGGACCAAAGTAACAGAAAAAGGCCAGTGATAAAATGGAAAATGTATTAATAGTATTAATGCAGAATAGATGTGTTTTATAGGAAGATTGTGATGAGTTGGTAATATGTTTGAAGAATTTTTGTAAATGTGGTAAATACAAAATTATCTGAATTTTCTTTGGTAGTTTCTTATAGCAACTTCCATTATTTAAATGATGCATAAAGCCCTCTTGTTAACAAACTATGCTAAAGTGACAACTGTACTGAGAGTTTTTTATGACAAGTGGATTATAAAGGATTTCGGTTATGATTACATGCTGTTTAACAACAGTTTGTGAAGAATTCTGAATAGTCTTGATATTTTGGCATGGAGTTGGGGAAGTAATGATAAGGATGTAACTTTTCCACTTTAGATACAAGATGTCTTTATTTTTGTGATATTTTAAGTATTCTAAAATATGGAAAATTTCAAAAATGATTTTAACCTTGTTGCATGGAGAAGCATCTACAGAAAGAGATTTCTCTGGTGGTAAAGACACTAAAAATTTTTAATTTGAAAGATTCATTTTATATACCTGAATGTGCATATGATTTTATAAAATTGTATGATTTTATAAAGTTGTTTTGGTGTTTTTCTCAATATTGAAATTACTGAAGAAATAGATTGACAACTCCTTCAGCATGTTTCAGATATATGCAGCTTTTAGAGCAACAGATATTTTAAAATAAATTTGTAAATTAAAAAATGAAGGAAAGGCTTATTGAGGAAGATATGATTACATGAAAATAAAAGGATATTTTCCTTCAAAGTAACATTGTTGAAGATGCTAACAAATGAATAGATACCTCAGCAGGTGATCAGAGACTAGTAAGACCATTGATTTGCTTATTAAAGCAATTGAAATTAGCAAAGTAGTTACAAGGAGGGAAACACACAAGCAAGCTAAAATAGGTGGAAAAATTTCAGATTAGAAAGGTTCAAATATGTTATAAATCTCTTTTAGAGTATAATTATTCTAATAGACAATTTAAAACTACTGTATACTTATAATTATTGCAAAATTTTCTCAGATTGTAATTTAAAAATTGCTTTTTTGTTCAATAATTATGATAAAATACTTTTTTAATATTGAACATTTAAATCATCTTTGGAAAGTGTCAAATTATCTTAAATATTAAAAGTTTCCAGATATTATAATTTAATGTTGTAGAGTCATTAGGCTAATTGGAAGCAGAAAAGATGAAAAATATGCAACCGCCTTTGCTGGGAATCGAACCACGGACCTCTGAAATACTGGCTCGGTGTGCAGAACCACTATACCATGAAGACTCGCTAGGATAAGTGGGAGAAATACCTTATATACTCCCCTTTTTAAAGGGCAACTAGGGTTTTAGGGGACCTAGTCACCAAATCCTGGGTGCGGAGAATCATCATCCACAACCCTTTTTAGTCTGGGTGCCACTTGTAGAGTCATTTGGCTAATTGGAAGCAGAAAAGATGAAAAATATGCAACCGCCTTCGTCGGGAATCGAACCACGGACCTCTGAAATACCGGCTCAGTGTGCAGAACCACTACACCACAAAGTCTCGCTAGGGAAGTGGGAGAAATACCTTATAATGTTAGCTATGTAGAAATATATAGGAAGTTGGTTTTGCTATTAAACTTAATTTTAAGGTTAAGTATTCAGTTATGTTTAATAGTAATGCATCCTACATACCTTCTATATTGTTTTTAGAATGGTACAGCTGAAGATATTTACATAGATATTATATTTATTCATAATTTTTATCCCTTGGAAGTCCTTAAAAACCCTTAATTTATATTGAAAGAAATGTATGAGCCTTGATATCATTACAAAGGTTATGTTTAATTTTATGCAGTTATTATGATACTGAGATGATTATGTATCATCAAGTTGCATGAACTGTAGAACCTCATTGGAAATTTTTTTTTGGATACCTAGTAACAGAAAGCATTGGTGGTGTATTGTTTTCTTGGTTTGTATATGTACTATAAATATGAGATATTTAACGTAAAGTTCTCCATATAGATACTCTTTTGAGCCAGATAACAGTTACGTTGCTATAATTAATCAAGAACAATTCTCTGCTAAAATCGTAAATTCTCTATGTATTCAGAAGAGAGAGAGTTTAAATAGAATTGACTTATGTCAGATTATAATTGAAGAAAACTTTAAATATACTATTTTTTTTGTTCATGTACAAGATAATTAAAGGAATTAGAAAATACCCCTATTCTTTAACTTGATAACTGTAATTTATTATTTAATATTACATTTGGTATTAATTTTCTGAATTTATATTTGTGATTTTCTTTTTAACCAGGCTAGTAGCGATGCATTAAAAGTCCCGGATCCAGAAGAAAAGTATTTAAAGAAACTTGGATTCCATGTTGATGAACCTCGATTATATCCTAAGAGCCGATGGTCAAATGTCTCTTTGCCTGTTTTCTTGACAGCAGTTTCATCTAGTGATGCTAATTTCATCATTGGCTTCCTGAAGTCTTTCCAACATTTCTTCCCGAATTCCTTATTGGTTATATATGATTTGGGTATAAATCCATCAGAATACTCATTGGTAAGAATAATTAAAACACTGTTCAGTTAAAAAAAAAAATAAAACTTATCAGTGGTAGCTAGCTAAGTTTTCTAGAGATCAAATGCAAAATGCGATGGCATTTCTGCAGCTTATGCCAAATTTAGCAAAATTTGATAGCAATAAGATAAAAGATCTGACTTGCCTTACCAGTGTTCCAATTTATTTGACATGCCAAAATTCGTGCTAGAAGTTATTCTTATTACTACACTGCATATTTTATTCAAGTTATAGTGTCATTTTTGCTACTAAATGAGTCATCTCTGAAGAGCAACTTGATCTCACCTGGGGCAAATCACGATAGTTCATTGAATCTATCTGTGTTTTTTACTTATTAGTACTCTCTTTATCTTTGCATTGCCACTAACTATTTTTTGTTAATTGATCCATTTGTCTCTTAGGCCAGATGTCCTCCTCATGCTATATTAAAAATTTCTGCTGTAGAGAAGTGATTCTTATTAAATAATTCTTATTCTTATTAATTATTCTTAGGAAAATCTTTAGGTATAATTGTCTGTTTGTAGTGAGGATAGGCAAAGGTGAGTCAGTGCAAAAAATTGCCTGTGATGTGGGCTGTGTAAAAGTCACTGTTGGTAATTGAAAAATGGGGGTGGAAATCGATCTCTCATAATTTTTGATTTTAACAAATTTACAATTGTTGGCATAAGAAAAATTGAACATTGATTTCATTTTACAGTAACTATGTCTTTACTAAGCAAAGTGGTTTTGATAGAATGGAGTAATGTTTTTTGTATAGTAAGTCTATTTCAATAATATTTTTTTGGTCTTTCTATGTTAGCTGATATTCCAAGTTATCTGAATATTAACAGTCCCATTTATGTTGGATAATCTATATTACAGTAAAAGCTTGACTATCCGGAAAGCTGGTGAAATGTTAAATTCCAGATAAACAGGAATTCTGGATGTAATTTGACCATTGCCAACACAACCTTGGTTGACATTCTGCAAAAACACTTGTCTAGAAGGGGTGTTAATTATGTGTTGCGGGATGGGGATTAGATGAGGGTTCTCTTTTTGCTGGAAAGCAGGAATTTACTAATAAAGAAGTGAATGTAATCATGGAATCCTGTCATCTCAGGCTTTTCGCACCTTTGGTTCATATGAACAGAAATTAAAGATTTTCATTGATTTGAAACGTGGAAACCAAGCATGTTGAATTTTATATGAACAGTGCATATTCCATAACGTACTTAAAAAAAATAAGATTACTAAAAATCATGGAACTGTATTTTTTAGCAGCAGTGTGCTTTTCATAGTATAGAAAAAATTGGTCAACAAGTTTTCACCTAATCTGAATGGCATTTGTCCAGATCATAGTTGATTTAATGTGACATTTGCCAGTATTGTAAGGTGGCATTTGTCAGAATTACAAGCATATTTTTCCTTTTTTAAAAAAAAATAAATTTCGTGTTTTTCTTCCCAGGCAATATAAATAATAATGCATATAGATTTTAGCACAAAAAAATCAACTACAGTCAAAAGTCGTTAATCCGGACTCATCGGGACTTCAGCAATTCCGGATTATAGATCATCAGTTTAAATCTGGTAAGATGGCATGCAGAAATTATAAAATTAAAAATATGAAACCATAATTTATGAAATAAAGAACAATTATGATCTAAAGGGTATCAAAATTCACCCCCCCCCAAAAGAAAAACCTTAATATTTATTTGTTTACTTTATTAAACATTTCTTTCAATGCAATTGTTTAAGTGCTTCGTTTATGTGATAATACTTTCTCTTTACTTCTATAACGGACATAATTTCTTGTTCAGTTGCAAAGTTTCCGCTATTCAATCCTATAATGCTGTGTCGATGATACCGACTACTTTGTCATCGAAATTTTTTTTTCAATAACCTCTGTCACTTTCTACTACGGAAGCGAATTATAATGACGAGAAATTTGATTTAAATCAATCAAAATGGAGTACATCAAGATGAAATACTGCATTTAGTAAGGCATTATAAGCCAAATAAAATAAAATCATCTGCCCTGAAGATAAGGATAGTGCTGACAGATCAACTTCCAATTCATTGTGTGCCGCGGCATTTCCCCCCTGCCTCGCAGAGCAGCATGAAATTGATAAACTGATTTCGGAATGGTTAGAGAAACAAAGGATATGCCTTTACCCATTTTTTGCAGGAATTCCACTTTTTGTTTGATGGACATCGAAACATACTTTCGCTTTGTAGATCCTTCGGGAGCTCCAGCATCGGAAATTCTATTTCACATAATCGAAAAATCAAGCTTACTTTTATAAAATTGCTCTAACAGTCTGCAAAAAATAATAAGCCGGATCCAATTCGAAGATTAAGGAACAATGCAATCTGCAACATTAACTGAAATAGATAATTAGATAATTTTAGCTTATACCATCCGTTATACATTACACGAACATGCATAAACGTATTATGCGCATGCGAACACACATATAACTGTAAAAATCTTATGCGCGTGCTCAAACGCCTATGCGCATGCGTAGAAAGTTTGTAGCTTTGAGGTCCAGATTATAGATCATTCCGGATTATGGGTGTCCGAATTAATGACTTTTGACTGTATAATAATCATTTGATATTATATAATTATTAAATTTTTTTCAGTATGTGATAATGTATGTACATTTAAGGTCAAAGATAACAAATGTATGTAATAATTATTTCTATTTTTTAATTATTGTAATCAATTATAATAGTATTATAATTTTATTGTACTAATATAATGAAAATTGTCAAATAAAATGAAATAATTAAAAATATAGTAAAATTGTTATACAATAACAATTATTTATTACAAATTATCATTAAATTATATATAACAAAACACGTTTTGAAGGTGCCTGTATTTTTACCAATAAATTAGTAAATAAATAAATAAAAGGCATGCCATTAAACACAATGTAATGGAACAGTTCATTACAAATGATGATTATATTTCAGCTTAGATTACTTAAATGTAATTTTTGCTTTAATTCTGTGCTCTTTGAATGCTAAAAAAATAAACAGGGGGGAAACCCCTACTTCATGATTCATGTTCATCTTTCATGAATAAATTCGTCTCTGAATGGCACATGTGTGCTTGCATTCATGGTCGTGAAACTATAACTGAGCATGTAAAAATGCAATTCACAGTATAAAAGCGAACGAAATGAATGGAAGAAAAAATTTCATGTATAAATTATATATAGAGTCATTTTGCTTGTTATTAGCTTGATTATCAAACACCTACATGTAAATTATGTGAGATTTTGAAAGAAAAAAGACCATTCTGGATGTTAATATGGAAATAAAACATTCAGTTACGATATTCCATCAACTGTGAAAATCTTATGAAACTTGTGCCACTCATTCTGGCAGAAGTTTGAAGAAACAGATTGTTCTTTATTTAGTTAATCAAGTTGATAATATACAAGTTATGGACATAACAAATAAAATGTTTAAATCGCTTGTCTTAATTTTTCACATTGCGTAGCCAGTTCACATAAGTCGCACTTTTCTTGATGTAAGGATCCGTATGCTGTTCCATTGAGGAGTAATTCCAAATTATAATCAGTATTTCAAAATGCAATTGAAAAACAGATAAATAACATTAACTTTATAATTTTTAAAAATTAAATCGACTATTAATCAGGTTTATATAAAGCCAAATTTTATGTCACAACTATCCATTATTGCCACTAACTTGCACTGATTTTTTATAGTTTTTCTGTGATTCAGATCATAGTTCTATTGGTGCTTTATAACAGAGTTATAAATATCTTCTTGCTTAACATTTAAAAAAATTCTTAAAATTAGAAAATAGTCCAGTTTTGAGTTTTCTGTTTAGTCAAATGCCAGATAGTTGGGCTGTTATTGTATTATTATTGAATGCAAACTTATGCATAATTGTAATGTTTTCGATGATGATAGGTCAAAATAATCAGGACTTGCAGAAAATTCGAATGCTAGTCGTTGAAAGTTGTCATGGCATTTTTTTTGCTTCACATGAAGAGAGCTAATGTTACCATTAGCTCTCTTCATGTGAAGCAAAAGTCTTAAAAGAGAGCTAATGCTTCTTTGAGTCTTAAAAGAGAGCTAATGTTACCATTAGCTCTCTTTTAAGACTCAAACTGAAGGCCATAAAATACTTTACAGGAAATCATATATTTGAATATCATGTTTTTTATTTAAACTCTGTTTTATCTTTACATGGATATTAATACAACTTGTTTCTTGTAATAATCCATGTCTGTTGTTCATAAAACGATGCTTGAATATTGGCTAAATAAAACATACTGTATGCCAACAAATACCTTAAATTGGTTGTTATTCAATCAAAAGCTGGGCATTACTGTATTGTGATGCTTTGGCGTTAAATTTAATCTCTGTTGGCATGTATGCAGGTATTCATAATTGACGTGAATTCTAAAGTATAACATAAATTTAATGTATAAGCAAGTCAGTCAGAACTTTGCCTTTATTGGTTAATTTTATTCCTATTTATGTGATATTAGTTTTACATTAAGTTGCTCAAAAATTTTAAAGTATGATATTTTTAGTTCTGTAATTTTTAAAAGTAACAATTTATACCACTATGTTTTAACAAATTTCTGTAATAAAAATTGCATTTAATTTTTTTATTTTGTAAATTTTACATTTCTTACAAGAATTTGGGAAGTATGGGAACTTACTTTATTAATAAAAAAAGTTATATATTTATCTCAAGTATTTGTTAATCATTTACATAAGGAATCCATAATAGAATGTGTGAAAGTACTAGAGTATTTTAGCAAACTATTACTGAGAAATATTTAAGTTAATTATCATATTGAAGGTACACGTATTTTTATTTTTTGTTTGTATATTTAAAATGTTTTCTTTGCTTTCAGATCAACGGGATTTGCAATTCATCGAACTGTATCCTTAGAACTTTTGATTTTAATTCATATCCTTCTCATATTAGAAATCTGCAAATGTTTGCTTATCGACCGATTATAATCCAGGTATGTTTTCCTTCCTTTATTTTAGTTTATAATATTTCTAATTGTATTTACTGAACAAAAATTATATATATGGGATCTGATCATCTGTTTTTCACTCATTGTTTAGTAAAATTACATTTAAATAAATTACTGTTTAATAATGATTGTGATTTCTTTTAGGGGTATTTTTTCTTAATATGAAGTGATTCTAGAAATTAAGGGGAAATGTTTAATTTGTAATGTATTGTCTATGATGACACATTTCCCCATTTTGAGATTACTAATGAAACTTTTAATTGAAAAAATATTGTTTAATGTACCTGTATTGGCCACCCAATTGACGTAAAAAAAATTTTTCTTCAGAGAGTTTGTCAATATATGTACAGTAGCAATGCATAAACAGCTCTTTTCCGAAGGAAATGAAAATACCTGAGTATGAAAAACATTCTTTAATGCCTTCTGGTCTCAGCTGTTTGTTCTGAGTCTTTGAGTCAATATTGTATAGCTGTTACCAGTTACTGAGTCTCCGTAGACAGATAAGAATGCTTTTGACAGAGCAAGTAGAACAGTGCTGTTGGCAGAGCTGAAAGAACATGAGATAGAAACTCTTTCTCTGGAACTACGCTCCTCACTTTATTGATTTTCTGGACAAGTCTGGAAGACAATCTGGATTCTCATTCGCCCGAAATTTTCAGAGCATCTCTCGATTGGTGAGTGCTCTTTGATTCTTTGCAGGTACACTAAAAAGTTCGAAATCCGGATGTCCAATATTCAGAATAATCTAAAATCTGGACCTCAAACGTCACTACCAACTGTTTCTTTATTTTATTTATTTTTTTTTGTGTGCTTTACGCATGCGCATTTGATTCCGCCCTCCCCCTGCGCATGATAAAACATGTGAAGAGTTCCAATTCTTAATTTCACTTCGGCACTAATACCCTGTTATTGAAAAAAAAATTTTAGTGTAAATTTGTATGATCATTGATTTGGCTCCGTAGCTGTGTATCTGCCTGTCGCACATCTCAAACCAAAACATTCTATAGATACATCATTGATTTTACACATATTAATATATTATATCCCTGACTCCCAACTTCATGAATCATTATTTATTATATTTTGCATTCATCACTGCATGTTTATCAACACATGACAACTTGAGTAATGACTCATGGAGCTATGCCTAAAAAAAATTTTTTTTAATATTAGTAATTGAGAAACAGTATGGTACCTTTTATGTTGACATTACGCTTGATGATGATTACAGATTTAAGTTAAATTCACTAAGAAATGTTGACAGGAAAATTTTAAAATTTCTTTCCATTTTGCTGCGTGCGTACAGATTCGTAATAATTTGAATGCACAAGTCCGATGAAAAGTGAATAAAATTTATTATTATCACAACAAATGAAACAAACTACTTAAATTTCCTCAGGTATTCGTACAATATCTCACAGTAGTTAATTTACTAAAAACGTTTAACAGAACTTAATTAAAAACACAGAAACTTAGAGAAAGCTAATCCAATCTCGCCGCAAATTCGGTACGGTAAACAACAGCAGTTTTCTAAACAAACTCTCAAAAAAAAAAAAAAAAAAAACTATTGAGAGGTTTTCCTCATTTTATAAGCTTTTTAAATCATGCATGAGTACATTCTGGTATTTTCTCAGAAAGCAAAAGTGTACAATTATGAGATATCTATTTATTAAATGCCCGTGCTCCTGTATTTTTAATTTTTCCGGCATAGCTTTCTCTTTAAATAAGTTGCGTGCAGCATTGCACAGGGAAATAAAAACAATTTAATTATTAATTAGTATTTTTAATAGAATTATAAAGTTAATAATTCTTTTAAAAATACCAAAACAAATAAATAGATACAAAACCCGTAATGCTATGTTAAAAGTAGGTTTTGTTAATGATACTCATAGGCCAAAAGATTACATTTAATGCTATCTGAATTTAGAATAACTAATTTGTTATTTGCATAAACCCAAAACCAGCGCCAGAGTTCATATGGCCGCACCAGGCGGCAGAATTTAGCGAAGACAAAGTGAGGTGCTTGGTAGGAAAATTTAGGAGCCACAGAGATGGCATCAGGCGGCAAGATATTTAGCATCTGCCTTTAATAAGCCTTAAGTATATGTGGGAATTTATTTATTCGGGACTCAGATAAGCATTAAGCATGTGCAAGAAATAAGCATTAAGTATGATAAATAACTAAACTAATACAATTCAGGTCTAATTGTCTCAGTGCACGATAGAAGCAAGATAAAATTTAGCGGAACAACTTTTCTTTAATCGCCAATCTCATAATACATAGGCAAATGTGTATAGTGAATGATAGTTCATTTTTTTTTATGATAGCCGTGAATCTAAAGGTTTTCCGATATCGCAAACCAAAGGTGAAATTTTTCAGTTGACAGATTTTTTAAAGAAATGTGGAGAAGCAATAATAAATGAAGAGGATGTAAAAGATGTTTTTCACTATGATGACAATGCTCCTTAATCATCAATAAATTACCAGATGGTGAAATCTGTAGTATGATTCTAGATCCTGAAAATACTGCTACAGATAGAGTGACGAAAAAATTTCGATTCACAAGTTAGTCGGAATTCTGGATGCAGCAATTACAAGACTTCAACGGTGGAACTTTGTAACTGAATAAGAAGTTATGTCTGTCTATAAAATTAAAGAGAAAGTATTAGCACAAAAAACGGAGCAGCTTGAAAGAATTGTATAATAAAAAAAAAAGATTTTTTTTTTGTTTTTTTTGTTTTGTGTGTGTAAATTGTGATACTCTTTAGATAATAAATGCTTCAGTATTTCATAAATCATGATTTTACGTTTTTAATTGTATTATTTCTACAAACCATCTTACTAGATTTAAACTGATTCTAATATCCGGAAAAATCTCAAATCTGGAATGGATGTTTGACAACACACCTACAAATACTACTGTTTCACTAAAGGTTTTTTTTTTTTTTTTTTTTTTAAAGATTTTTTTTAAACTCTTCGAAAGCACATATCTCCTCTTTCATCCTCACCTATCTGGAACTATACTCTGAAAATATCAAATCATGGTGGAATGGTTTGTGACTCCCATCCGTCACTGGTAATCAGCTAGTATGCTTGGATGCCTATTCTGCAATCACTGGATCTTAACTACTATAGCGCATACAATATTGATTAAACAAAAAACTGGTAGCTTCTACCGCTTCCAACTTTTACTGAGAAAACCATTCTGTGGTCCTTGGTTGCTATGTGTATGGGTCTATTTGACTTCATTGAGAGGGGACAAGCCTTCAGACAGATTTAGACCAATCATAGTACAGACAACTGACGTAGTTTGTAGCGCATGCCCTAATTTCTCGGAATATTTATCTGAGCATGTTTCCACATGATTTCGCTGTTGACATGTCAGTGGTGCAAGTGGTCCATGAATTTACAACCCTTCGTGATATACAAATAAATAATTTAAAAAATGACATATAGGGAAATTTGCCTCTAACATCTGTAAACAAAAGTGCCACAATTTTGCTATATCGCATCTTTTTGCGATTCAAAATTTCAAAAGTAACGATTTTACCTTGCACACTATCCAAAATACGTGACAAAAATTTTGCCACCACGTCTTTCATTGCAACATAAGCCATTTCAAAATGACAACCAAACCAACCAACCAGCAAATAAAACCACTCCAGCAAAATTAAGTTTCAATGTCAAAAGTGTGGACCACCAGCGGCCGAGCGGTAAAAGCCACTGAATACTGGTAGTTCGTTCCGGGGTTCGAGTCCCGGCAAATGGGTTGGCTGCATGGGTGTTTTCGTGGTTTTCCCCATGTATAACGTGGATACGAGCCAGTTTCCCTTAAAAAGACCTCCACGGGGCATTCCTCCCTTTCCATGTAGTGCCCAAGGGTGGAGCATATAATAAGTAAAAAAAAAAGGTCAAAAAGGTTGCCATACAAACAACATCATGCCCAAAACCAGCACAGAACACGTATTACCACATTTTGTGATGGCATACATCCTACGATGTATAAGAGTAGTATCGGAAATTGTAGTTCGAATTCACCCATGCATACTCCCGCCGTGTAAATGGTTAGTATATTGAACTAACAACTGGAAGATCTGTTTTTCAGGTTCCAACAAGAATCGAATTCTCCTATTTCCCAGCTGAATTATTTATTGTCAGATAAATATATTATTAAAACAATATTTTTATGATTGTTTATTAGCCGCTTTTGTTTTTGACTAATCTTTATGAAATTATCAGTTCGAGGAAAAACTAAGCCACTTTATTTTCAAAGCAAAAGTATTAGCTAACCAATAAATACAGTGCAAAGTCCGAAATCCGGACTGGTCGGGATTTCGGCGATTCTGGATTTTTCCGGATAATAGATCATCAATTTAAATTTGGTAAGATGGCATGCTGAAATTATATGATTAGAAGTATGAAATCATAATTTATGAAATGAAGAACAATTATGATCTAAAGGGTACCAAAATTTACAAAAAGAAAAAGCTTAATACAGTACAAAGTACGTAATCTGGATGTCCATTATCTGGAATAATCTATAATCCGGACCTCGAAGCAACATACTTTTTTTTGTATGCTTTACACATGCACGTTTAATGTATAATGGACAGTATAAGCTAGGCTAAAATTATCTTTACTGATTCTAAGGCATTTCAGTTAATGTTGCAGATTGCGCTGTTCCTTAATCTTCTAATTGGATCCACTTATTATTTTTTGCAGACTGTTGGAGCAGTTTAATAAAAATTAAGCTTGAACTTTCGATTATGTCAAAAAGAGTTTCCAATTCTAGAGTGGAATTGCTGCAAAAAATGGATAAAGGCATATCCATCTCAAAATTATGCGAGGAGTATGACATTGGAAAGTCAACTGTATATGACATAAGCAAAAAGAAAAAGGAACTTTTTGAATTTTTTGTGAATTCCAACATCCCACTTGCAATGAATAACTGAAAAAGGGTTCGTTATGCTAAAAGTGACGATCA